AAGTTTGACCTCTTCCTTTCCAATTGTATCCCCTTGATCTCCTTTTGTTGTCTTATTGCTCTAGCTAGAACTTCAAGTACAATATTGAAGAGGTATGGAGAGACTGGACAGCCGTGGCTTGTTCCTGATTTTAGAGGAATAACATTGAGTTTCTCTCCATTTAGTTCGATGTTGAATGTTGGTTTGCATTATATAGCTTTTATTATGTTTAGGTATGTATGTGTTATCCCTGATCTCTCCAAGACCTTTATCATGAAGGGGTGTAGGATTTTGTCAAAGGCATTTTCAGCATTTAGTGAGATAATCACCTGATTTTTGTTTCTCAATTGGATAATATGATGGATTACATTGATGGATTTTCATATGTTAAACCATCCCTGCATCCCTGGGATGAAACCTACTAGATCATGGTGAATGATTGTTTTGATGTGTTCTTGGATCCGATTTGTGAGTATTTTATAGAGTATTTTTGCATCAATGTTCATGAGGGATATTGGTCTGAAGTTTCTTTCTTAGTTGTGTCTTTGTGTGGCTTGGGTATCAAGGTTATTGAAGCCTTGTAGAAAGAGTTTGGCAGCAAACCTCCGGCTTCTATTGTGTACAACATTTTAAGGAGTATTGAAATTAGCTCTTCTTTGAAGTTCTGGTAGAATTTTGTACTGAAGTCATCTGGGCATGGGATTTTTCTTGGTTGGGAGATTTTGATGACTACTTCTATTTCATTGGGGGTTATAGGTCTGTTTATATTCCTTATTTGTTCTTGATATAGTTTTGGCAAGTGATATCTATCCAGGAAATTGTCCATTTCCTTTAAATTTTCAAATTTTGTGGAGTACAGGTTTTCAAAGCATGCCCTGATGATTCTTTGGATTTACTCAGTGTCCGTTGTTATATCCCTCTTTTCATTTCTGATTTTGTTAATTAGTGTGCCCTCTCTCTGCCTTTTGGTTAGTTTGGACAAAGGTTTGTCTATCTCGTTGATTTTTCTCAAAGAACCAACTCTTTGTTTCATTGATTCTTTGCAATGTTTTTCTGGTTTCTACTTGATTGATTTCAGTCCTCAATTTGATTATTTTCTGGTATCTACTCCTCCTTGGTGAATTTGCTTCTTTGTGTTCTAGAGCTTTCAGTTGTGCTATTAATTCTCTAGTATGACTGTTCTCCAGTTTCTTCATGTGGGCACTTAGTGCTATCAACTTTCCTCTCAGCACTGCTTTCAAAGTGTCCCATAAGTTTGTGTATGTTGTGTCTTCATTCTCATTGAATTCCAGGAAGTCTTTAATTTCTTTTTTTATTTCTTCCTTTACCCAGGGATGGTGCAATTGTGCATTCTTCAATTTCCATGAGTTTGTAGTGGTTTCTGCAATTTGTGTTGTTGTTGAATTCTAACTTTAAATCATAGTGGTCTTATAAGATATATGGAATTATTCCAATTTTTGTATCTGTGGAGGTTTGCTATGTTTCCTATTGTGTGGTTGATTTTAGAGAAGATTCCATGTGGCTCTGAGAAGAAGGTACATTCTTTTGTGTTTGGGTGGAATGTTCCATAGATGCCTATTAAAACCAATTGGGTCATAACTTCTTTTAGTTCTTTTGTTTCTTTGTTAAGTTTCTGTGTGAAGGTCCTGTCTAGTATTGAGAGCAGAGTGTTGAAGTCTCCTACTACTAGTGTGTGAGATTGTATGTGCAATTTGAGCTTTAGTAATGTTTCTTTCATGAATGTGGGTGCCTTTGAATTTGGGGCATAGATGTTCATATTTGGACTTCATCTTGATAGACTTTTCCTGTGATGAATATGAAATGTCCTTCTTCATCTCTTTTGATTGATTTTAATTTGAAGTCTAATTTATTAGATCCTTGGATTGCTATACCATCTTGTTTTTTGGGTCTGTTTGATTGGAAAATCTTTTTCCAACCCTTTACTCTTAGGTAACGTCTGTCTTTCATGTTGAGATATGTTTGTTGTATGCAGAAGAAAGATGGATTCTGTCTGAGGTAATGTCTGCCTTTCATGTTGAGATGTGTTTGTTGTATGCGGCAGAAAGATGGGTTCGGTCTTCATATCCATTGTGTTAGTCTGTGTCTTTTTATAGGCAAGTTTAGACCATTGGCATTGAGTAATGACCATTGATTCTTGATTCTTGTTTGTTTTTTATTTATTGGTGGTAGTGTTAATATGTGTAGGTTTTCCTCCCTTTCTCTCTTGGTGTTTGGTAAAGACGGATTATCTATTGCCTATGTCTTTGTGAGTGTAGTTAATCTTCGTTGGGCCAAAGTTTTCCTTCTAGCACTTTCTGTAAGGCTGGATTCGTGCATATGCATTGTTTAAATCTGGCTTTGTCGTGGAATATCAAGGTAAAAATCTGATTGTTCAGAGAAGTGGTGGAGAAGCAATCAGTGATCTCCTATCTCTTTCATTCTGCCATCCAAAAGGGACACGGTCCTCTCTAAGCCCTACCCTACTACTTCCTGTGTCTATCGGTCCTCAGTCCTCCAAAAATTCTGTGGTTAATTTTGGCAAGCTAGTAGCTATCTCTGCCCTCTGATTCAAAAAAAACTTTATTATCAGTCTTGGAAGATTCAGGATGTAATCAAAATATCAACAACATGAAATAGCAGTAAAGAAGAGGTGGGCAGACAGGGCTATAGTCCTAAAAATAGGGCCTGAAAGGCAGAAACTGATGGGTGATAGGGGCTGAGCAATGGGTAAATGTGTTATTCTCTCCTACCACTTGCTTGGCCTCTTTTCTGAGATGAACTAGACAACCACTTCCTGCTTCCTGCTAACAGGCAGGAGCTGCCTCTGCACATAGGCTAGGAAAGGCTTTTAGGTAAATGGTAAATCTAACTCAAAACTTGTTCCTTTTCTACTACAGCTCATTGCACATGGGACACACAAGCTCTAAAATGTACTTCAAAGTTGCCACTCAATGACCTTCTCAGACACTAGACAAAAGTAGATCCTCAGATATGCAGACAAAAGGTCCTGACCTATTGCTGCCAGGGCGCATGGCTGAATTTTCCCCAGGGATGTTTCCCTTGCAGGAGGTGCTGGGAAAATTTGGACCCACCTATGTTCACAGAACCTTCTTGTTAGTTAAGCCTAAGGAAAAGCAGAATGCTCAAGTAAAACAAAGACCAAATTTCTCAATCATTCTCATCTGATGGCTATTTGTCAGTGAGAAAGTGAACTTCCTATATTACCATACTATTTGTTCTTTTTGCAGGAGGGAAGGTACTAAGTTTTTCAGGTAGTTGGCTTCCACTTGCAGGTACACTCAAACTGATTGTTGGTACAGGCTTTCAGACCGGTGGTCCCCCCAAAACTAGTCAAGGAGGACCTCAAGTAAGAGGCTTATAAAGGCATACAGATACCACTGCAGATTGATTATAAATACAGACAGCCATACACCTATGACCTTATAAATTATAAAGCTATCGGAGGGTGATGTTTCAGAATCAAGTGTTCTGTCTTTTATAGTATTCTTTTAAATATTTTTACATTCCAATCACAGTTACCCTTCCCTCCTATCCTTCTCCTCCTCCTCCCATGCCTCCCCATCTCCCATTTGCTCCTTGGAGAGGGTAAGGCCTCCCATAGGAAGTCTGCTGTCTGTCCCATCATCTAATTGAAGCAGGACCAAGGCACTTCTCTACCCCCATACACCGGTGTCTAGGCTGGGCAAGATATCTCTCCATATAGAATGGGCTAAACTAAGTCAGTTTGTGCATTGGTGTTAGATCTTAGACCAACTGCCAGTGACCTCATGTATGGTCCCAGTCTCACCATTGTCACCTATATTAAGGGACTCTAGTTTTGTCTAATGTAGCTTCCCCGTTTGTCAAATCTGAGTCAGTGATCTCTCACTGGCTTGGTTCAGCTGATTCTGTGGGTTTCCTCACCATGGTCTTGAGTCCGTTGTTCATATTATCGCTCCTTTGGTTGTACTCTAGGAGCTTGGCCCATTGGTTAGTTGTGGATTTCTGCATCTGCTTCCATCTGTTTCTGGACTTTTATAGTATTGTAACAGGGAAAAATGCTTCCTGTATCTGGTCAGTCTCTATTAGAGTCAGCGAATTCAACTCATCTGATGGCCAGGATCATCTTTCAGTCTGAGGAAGAGTAAGAGATAGTGACCAGCTGGTTTGCTTTTCTGATGGTCAGCTTGAAGCTTGAACCCCAATGTCAGTCTCTGGGTCTTTTGATTGTCATGTTACAATATCCCTTGAAGATAGATTTGTGGATGGCTGTGACTCTACTGGATGTGTCTTGGGGAAACCAAACTGGGATCCTTTGTGAGAACATCAATGACTTGTATCTGTTAACCCATCTCTCCAGTCGCTTTTTCTTGGATTATTTTTTAAACAGGCACTCAAAGTTTAAAATTTTCCATAAGGACTAATTTAGTAATATCTTACAGATATTCATATTATTTTTACTTTCATTAGAGTTTTTATCTCCAAAGTTTTTTCTCTGTAGCTGAAATTTCAATTCTCCTGCTTTGGGTGTCCAAGTAGCTGGGATTGTAGGCCTTCTCTACCATGTGTGGTGTTTACATTGGATTGTCTAACTTCCCTTATCCATTTCTTCTCTTACACATTGTTACACTCGTTAACTTCCACAGATTCATTTTCATGAATTTCCTTGTGATTGACTTCTAACTTCATGCCTTTGTGGTCATAGAGCATAGTAAATTCTATTCTTTCCTTTTTCTTCTTGCCAGTATATGATCAACCGAGAATGTTTTCCATGAACTGGAGAAGAATGTCTATTCTGCTGCTCTTGGGTGAATTGTTGTGCACATGTGTTCCTAAGACTATTTGGTTCTTAGTGTTGTTCAAGTCTTTTATCACATTGTTATCACCTCTCTAGTTTTCTAACTGTGAAATGTCCAATTAGTAATTTTGAATGGTCTATTGTATTTCTGTGACTTTTTGCTTCATGTATTTTGTTTTCTTTTCTTACATGATTACATGTACATGATTGTGATATCTTCCAGATGTTTCAACCTCTTCATCATTAGAAAATATTCTTTATCCTGTAAGTATTTGTTTTAAAGTGTATTTTGTCTGATATTTATATTGCCAATCTTCTTTCTTAGGGTTACAATTTATATCTTTCCTATTTTTAAAAAATTTCAGTCTATCTGCATATTTTAAGACACACAGTTTAGTAGATTAATGTATCATTCTTATATTCTCAGGGAGAATGGAAATGAACTCATTACCACACTCAGAAGTGGCCCAATCCTAAAGGCAAAGGCAGGTTAGAAAGAGACCTCTTAAGTTTTATTTATTTTACATGCATCCCCTTCCTCCTCTCCTCCCGTACTCTTCCCTAACTCCTTCAGAAAGGGTAAGGTCTCCCAAGAAGAGTTAACAAAGCCTGGCATATCAAGTTGAGGTAGGACCAATCTGCTCCCTCCAGCTTCAATGCTGAGCAAAGCGTTCACCATAGGGAATTGGTTTCAAATAGTTAGCTCATGCACCAGGGACAGATCTTGGTCCCACTTCTAGGGGTCCCACAAACAGACCAAGTTATCCAACTGTCACCCACACACAGAGGGCCTAGTTTGGTCCCATTTAGGCTTCTCAGCTGTTGGTCTAGATTTCATGAGCTGACAAGCTTGGGCCAGCAATCTCTGTGGGTTTCCCTGTCATGATCTTGAACCCCCTTGGTCCTATGATCCCTTCTCCCTCTCTTCAACTGGACCCCAGGACCCACAAGAGCTGTGGATATTTGCATCCTCTTCGATCTGTCAATGGGTGAAGGCTCTGTGATAATAATTAGGGTAGTCATCCATCTGATTACAGGGGAAGTCCCGTTCAGGCACCATGTGAACTATTGCTTGGAGTCTCAGCTGGGGCCATCCTTATGGATTCCTGGGAGTTTCCCTGGCACCAGGTTTCTCCCTAATCTTATAAAGATTCCTCTATAAAGATATCTCTTTCATTGCTAAGAGTTCCGTTCTTCCTCAGTGATGAGAGGCTAGAGATGATGTGCCTTTCTTTTTCTCCCTCTGGGCTGCAGGAACCTCAAGCCTAGAGCTCTCCATACCCATGCACTCAGGACTGAAGAATAGAAACCAAGTGACTGAGGCAGAGAAAGGGTCCCAGGAAGGAAGTTGAATTAATCAAGAAAGATGAGCAAGGCATGCATGACTTTAATGCCAGCACTGGGGCGGCAGAATCTTGGGGATGGATCTTGGTGAGTTTGAGTACAATCTGGTCTTTAAAAGAAAAAAAAAGTAAAGAAAAGGAAGTCGCCTCCCCCTGCCCAGGTGCCATCACTATGACATCAGAATGGTGGTCCAATCATTTGGCTATGGAACCTCGTACAATTTACATAAGGCTGCCGATTGGTTGAAGCGCCTAAGCCCGCCCCCAAGATGACGTTTGTGTACAGATAGGTGCCAGAGAAACAAGACTTTGAGCTGGTGGCTGGACGCGCAGCACTTGAGCTCCTCACTGCTAAACCTCTGCTGTCCTTACAATGGGCTAAATTTAATGGACAACCAGGAGATTGGATCCTGGTTGTAGAACTAATTCAGACAGCAGACTTATGGGCTGTGTTACCAGTCCGTTTTTCCAGATAATCGCAAGAAACCTGGGAATTCATTTGTTCTTTCAAGATAAAGGCAGATTGCTCAAATGAGTGCCAGAAAGCAAGGGTCTCAGGTGCGTGACCAGCATTTTGCTGAAGGTGATGACTTGGTGAAGCTGACACCAAGCCGCAGGCGGGTCACAAAGGTGACAGATGGCTCCTCAGGAAAGAAATCACCCGAGCCGAGAACTCCTCAGACAGCTCTTCCAAGAAGGCCACAGGACCATCCAGCCAAAAAACCTGGCGCGGTGGAGAGAGGTCGCGCGGATGAGAAAACCTGCACAGCAGAGAACAAGCCGTCCACCGAGAAGCATCACACTGCAGAAAAAAGAAACACTGCTAGGATGAATTACGTTACGCTGGACACCGAATTGCCTGAGACGATTTTGATAGACAATGACTATTGCAATGATGAAGAATGTCCTGCTACAGAGAAAGGACCCAGTGACAGAAAGCACCAGTTCAAGAAGCAACTCTCTGGGAGAAGGCACTGCTTTTCAGAGAAAAGTTGCTCATTGGAGAGGCATCTCTCGGCTGAGAAAGATCTCGCTACACAGAGAGATTTCCTTAACAAGAAAAGATGTCTTACAGAAAAAGTTCGTTCTACAGAGGAAGTTGGTTTGGGGGAGAGAGTTCCCTATGAAGAGAGAGGCCACCCTACTGAGGGAGGTCATCCTGCAAAGAAAGGTCTTTCTACTAAGAAGTGTCCATCTCCTAAGAAAGATTACTTGGACGAGAGAGGACCTGCTATGGAAAACCATCACCCTGAAGAGAAAGACCGCTCAGCCAAGAAACTTACCTATACACAGAGAGATCTCCAGATAGACGGAGAGCATTCTGTAGGGAGAGGTCGGCCTTCCATCAAAAGTCACCCTGCAGAGAAGGGCTGGTCAGCAAACAAGAGTGGATCTGCAGGGAGAGGTCACCGCATCAAAAGCCACCCTGCAAAGGAGGGTTGCTCAGCCGAAAGGGTTAACATGGCACAGAGTAGACTCTTTGCAGGTGAAGATACCAATACACGGAGAGGTCGCCCCATCCAAAGGTGTCGTGCAGAGCAGGGTCGCTCAGTGGAAAGAGCTACCACTGTGAAGAAAAGACCTTCCACAGCGAAAGATCACCCCACAGGGAGAAGTCGACCTCAGAAGAAAAGCAATCCTGCAGAGGAGGGTCAGTCAACAGACAGGGGTGCATTTGCAGGAGAAAATGTCCCCACAGGAAGAGGTAGGCTCTCAAAGAAAAGCCCCTGTGCAAAGAAACATCTATCTACCGAGAGCCATCCTGAAGGGAAAGAACTGTCTTCAAAAATAATCTCCTCCACAGAGAAAGTTCACTCTGAGGAGAGACGGTACATTGTTAAGAAAACGAGACAGCTGTCTGCCAAGAAAGGGAGCATGGGAAAGAAATTTGTTTCTGGTGAAAGTGTTGATATTCAAGACAGCTATACTCATGACAAAAGTAGCACAGGACAGAATGGGTGCTCTGTGGAGCAAGGTCATCCCTCCATGGAGAAAGGCTTTCCTGTAGAGACACCCTCTTCAGGATCTGTGCCTGTAGTACCAGTGCCAAAGAGCACACAGGATGCTCCAGAAACCAGCACTGACAGTGCTACCAGCCAATTACCCCAGGTCACTCACCAGAATGTGGCTGGGGCTGTCACCAACGGTCAGCATACACAGGCAGTGAATATGAGAATGGGAGTCAAACTGAAGTTGCCTCAAGAACTAAAAGCATGCCTTGTTGATGACTGGAACTTGATAAACACATACAACCTGTTATTCCAACTCCCTGCTGACATTAATGTAGATTGTATTCTAGCAAACTATGTTGCCTTCGTGAAATCACAGGGAAAGTCTGATAGTAGAGAATATTATGTTGATGAACTTGTGTATGGAATAAGAGAGTATTTCAACATAATGCTGGGCAACCAGCTGCTCTACCATTTTGAAAAAGCCCAGTATGTCTCAGTCCTAATGACTTTCCCAGATATTCCAATGTCTCAGATTTATGGGGCTCCACACCTCCTCAGATTATTTGTAAAAATTGGGAGTGCATTGACCAATTTTTGCCTAAATAGGTGCAGTCTAATATTAGTGTCTGGATATATGCATGATTTCCTTAATTTCCTAGCAGAGAATTCCACTTCTCTGTTTAGTGTCAACGATTACAACATGCCTTCTGCCTTATATAGTCTCAAAGAGCTGTGAGGGTCTGTTGACTGCTCTTTTATGACCTAGACCTGAAAACATTTCTATATTTGGTGTTTTCATTGCTTATTTGATTTTCTTGAAAACTATCAAGGTAAAAAGGGCTTAGTATTTCAGGTTGGGTATTGTGAACAGAAATAAAAAATATTAAGTGCTTGTTTACTACCATTTCAACAACAAATATATGTTCACTAAGCAATTTGTGTTGCTTATTTGACAAGATTGCTTGAATGTTGGTGCTTCTATCCCCTCCAGTGTCTACTAGCCGTTCATATACGTGATATAACACCCACATTCCTAGTGCCAAAGGATCAGGATTGTGGGTATACTCCAAACACAAACATGCACATAGTTAAAAATATAAAATCTTTTTACATGTAAAAATGATTGAAGTTGATCTCTAAGCAGGCCTTGGTTCACTCCTTGGTTTCAACCAGGAAAGGTGGAGGAGGAAGAGGAGGAATTGAAGAGAAGGAAAAGGAAGAAAGTGTACAAAGAGAAAGGGAAGAGGGGGGGCTAGAGGGAATGAGAAGAGGGAGGAGGGAGATTTTGAGAGGGGGAGGGGAGGGAAATGTGGAGAAGAAGAGGGAGGGAGAAAAGGAGAGGAGATGGAGGAGGGGAAGGCGAATGGGGAAGGAGGAATAAAGGATAGAGCAGGAGACAGGTGAGCTTGGGTCTCTGGGGACACACTCCCCATCCCCTGCCCAACACCCATCCTCTGGATCTTCCAGGGCCACTCCTGGCATCCAGAAGATCCGCCCACACGGGAAAGACATCAGCCCTTCCAGGCCCCAAACTCCAGCGATCCCAGCTTCAGGTGAGTTTGGGTCTCCAGGGGGGAAACTCCCCATCCTCTGGCCAACACACATCCCCTCGATTTTCCGCTCCTGGCATCCAGAAGACCCGCCCACATAGGAAAGACATCAGCCCTTCCAGGCCCCAAACTCCTGAGATCCCAGTGAAGGGGAGGAAGAAGAGAGGGAGGAGAAGGGGAGAGGAATATGAAATTAGGGAAGAGAAGATGGAGAAGGAAAAGGAGGAGGAGTTAAGGGAGGAGAAGGGGAGAGAAAGATGAGATGGTGAGGGGTAAGGAGAGGAGAGGAGGTGAGAAGAAAAGAAGGAGGAAAAAAGATGAAAGAGAGGAGGAGAGAAGGAAGGCAAGAATAGAAAATAAAAGAGGAATAGAGAAAGGGGAAGAAGAAATGAGGAGGAAGAAAAGTGGGGGAAGGAGGAGGGGAAGGAGGATAAAGGAGAGAGGGAGGAGTTATAAGTTGGGCCCCAGCCCCCAGGGGTCTCTGTGAGTTGCTTGTCAGCCAATAACCACTGATGCATCCTGTTCTCTAGTCCTGGGCTTACAGCCCCACACTTGCCCCACTGGAATCAACCTCTAATTATGAAAACATGAACTCTTACTCCTGGGGCTTCTCCACTGTGCTGTAAGTCTGTATATAAGGCTGCTCAAACAGTCCCATGTCTTGTCTTTCATTTAAGCCTCTAGGCTTTCACCCTTATGTTAGACTTGCTCATGGCACAGTGATAAAAGTGGAAAAGACTAGAAGGTGGATGACAAGAAGTGGCAAGGTAGGAAGAGTAGGAAAGGAGTATCAGTAGAAAGATGGGAAGGAGGAAGGGGAGGAGAAGTTGGAGGAGCATAGAGAGAAAAGGAAGATATGGGGAGAACAAGAAGGAGAGGAGGAGGAAGAGGAGAGGAGAAGGAACAAGAGGAGGGGAAGGAGAAGAGAAAAGAGGCAAATGGAGAAAAGAAGGGGAAGAAGGGGAGAAGGGTAAAAGGAGAACAAGAAGTAGGGTGGAATGGGGGAGAGAGAGGGGAGAAAGCAATAGGAGGAAGAGGATGAGAAGGGGGCAGGGCAGAGAAAAGGAAGGCAGGAAAAGGAAGACATGGAAGAAGAGGAGGAGTAGCAGGGTTGGAAGAAGGGGTGGGAGAAGAAGGAGAGGAGAAAGGGAGGAGAGAAGTGAGGAAGAGGAGGACTGAGAGGAGGGAGAGTGCTGGGTTCCAGCCCTGGCTTTGTCCAGGCATGGTTAGGAGGGGAATAGGCTGAGCATTGGCAGGGCCAAAGGTGGATCCTGAGTGGACATGAGTACAACAGGGAAAAGGACACCCTGGAGGCTGTGGCAGTGGACACCCCATTTATTAGGAGGGGGCCAAGGGACATTTGTATCCTAGGAAGAATGGCCTTTTGGGTCCATGTGGTGGTATGCTGTTGGTTGAGGTAAGAACATCGAGGATACTTCACTTGTACACTCAGAGGCAACAGGGGCCAGAGGAAGATAACTTAAAGTCATAGGAAGTCCAGCTCGGTCTGTTTCAGAGTTCAGATAAGCAGCAACCAGTCCCTGTGACCTTGGAGACCATGAGCTTATCAGCTGCCATGCGCATTGGGGCACATCACAGGAATCCTAACTGCTTGGGGACTGCTGGCATCTGGACAAGGGGGTGGAGCAAACAAACTCCTGCTGCTCTAAGGATGAGAAAATCCAGGGTTTCAGCATGCTTCGACCTCTTAGCTTCAGGCTAGCTCTGATGGAGAGGATGGGAAAAGAAGGGGAAGATAAAGGAGGGAAAAAGGAGGGAGGGTGGGGAGGAAGAAAGGACAAGAAGGTAAGGGAGAAGGAAAGAGAAGAGAAGACCAAGAAGAGGAGGAAAATAGAATGAAGGGGAAAGAAGGAAATGAGTATGGAGAGGAGGAGTGGGAGGAGGGAAGAGGAAGAAGAGGGAAAGGAGGAGGATGGGGAAGAGAAGAGGAAGAGGGAAAGGAGAAGCAGGTGGAAGAAATGAGGAGGAGGAGAGGGTAGGGGAAGAAAGAGGAGAGGGAGAGGAAGGGGAAAGAAGGGGAGAGAAGGAGGAGATGGAAAGATGAAAAGGGGAATGATAGGAAGGGCAGGAGAAAGTGTGTGTGTGTGTGTGTGTGTGTGTGTGAGAGAGAGAGAGAGAGAGAGAGAGAGAGAGAGAGAGAGAGAACTATAGATGAATTCTGTGAGCCTGCAATACCCGATCCATATGTAAACAGGTTTGTGTTTTTCTACACTGACAGAAGTTATTGAATGAGACGAAATTCACCAATGTTACATTTCAATGACAAATATTTGTGACATAATCCTCCTCCCCTAGTAGCTTGGCTGAAGCAAATGCAGATTCATTATTCCAGTCTTAATCACCAATATTAACCCATCACACTATGTATGTATGTGTGTATATATATATGTATATATATATACCTGCATGCATAAGAGTACAGAATAGATATGAGTTAAAGAGGCTGAACAAAGTTCAAGAGGTTTCAATGTGTGCTCAGAAGGAGTCTATAAAGACAAGGGACCAGATCAGTATTTGGAGGAAGCTGTTTCTGGGGCTGCTGGAGTCAGGGTTTGAAAATAAAGCTGTTCCCACTGAGTGGTTGAGGACCCAGACCCTCACCTAGACCCCTGCTTTGGCAGCCATAACACACTGCAAAAAAAAAAAACCAGCAAGTCACAGGTCCCTGAGTCAATAAAATGTGCTGAGCCCCTTCCCTTCTCTCAACCACTACACAAGTTAGCTGGTGGTCTCTGGATGTGCTTTACTGATAATAGTGGAATGCAGGGTGTAGAAAAACTGTCCTGGGAGAGCCTCTGTGTACAGCAACCTTTCTGCTCCTGCAGCTGACCAATCAACTGAGGACAGATTATTCCATCCCGGGGGTGCACCAGTCCTGAGACTATTGGTATACAACTAATGGAGCCCCAGACATTCTCCCCTTGCTCTACTCCAATATATACACTGACCCACTGCTTTTGGGGTTCGTCCTACTCCTCCTACTGTGTCCAATGGATGGAGGACCTGAGTCAACTCAAGTTAACTCGTTAATTAAAAAGACTCTTTCCTTTTACTTGGCATCTGGTCTCTTAGTGGTTTGGGGGTTTCAGAGTCTGGGCAAAACAAAGTAAGATGCCTGTAAAGACCAATAGATACTTCTGTAGCTTGATCGTGAATGCAGACAGCCATATACCTATGACCTCACGAAGTTTAAAGCTATGCAAGTGTGACCTTTCAAAATCAAGTGTTTTGTCTTTTATAGTATTCTAAAAGGGAAAAACACTTCCTATTTCTGGTTAGTCTCTGTCAGAGTCAGTGAATATGATTCATTTGATAAGTCTATACAGGTTAAAAGGAGGACCAGGCTTCTTTGTGTCCAGTCTCTTATGAGTAGACTCAATGGCAAACTTCCTGTCCAACATATTAGAGAACAATTGCCTTTTGTTTCTATGTTATATTGGCAAATTTTCTTGTACCATTTAAGCTCACTGAGAACCTGGCTTGGAAAGGGACCTCCCCTTCATACAGGCATGTTTGTCTCAAAATGGACTCTCTGACCCTCTTTCCTGAGTCAGGCTTGCTCTTGGGCTCTGTGAGGAGAGGCATGGTTTACTTAAAAACAGCTAATGGGTGTGTGTGCACTGAAACCACTGAACAAGATCAGTGGGAACAAATTGCTGAGCTGTCTCATAGGAATAGAGTATAGTGGTTCAGTAGGGAGGCAGTCAGATTTTTACATAATAGTCATCAGGGTACAGTTTTTTGTAAAAGCCAGAGTAGATCTTAAGCCCTGTTCTATTGCCGTGAAGAGACCCCCATGACAAAGGCAGCTGTTACAAAAGAAAACATTTAATTGGGGCTTGCTTACAGTTTCAGAGGCTCATTCCATTATCATTGTGGTGGGAACCTGACAACATGCATGACACTGGAGCAGTAGCTGAGAGCTACATCCTAGTGTGCAGGGAGAGAGAGAGAGACAGAGAGACAAAGACAGACAGAGACAGAGAGACAGATAGACACACACAGAGAGACAGAGAGTGCTGCGCCTGCTGCGCAGCCTGTGTCCGAGAATGTGTAGAGGGTGTCAGGATTGATGACACAGAGACCTCGGTGATGCAAAGAAAGCTTCAAGAAGGCCTCACTTTATTCTTGCCCTGGTTATTATATGCCCTGACTCCAGAGGTGGTGGTGTGTGGGTCAGGAAGCAACGGTTAGTCATTGGAAAAGGTCAAGGTCAGGGTGTGAGTGAGCCCTTATCAGGAACTTATTGCTCCGGGCACCGTATTATTTTTACTAAACATGGTTTTAGTAAACATTGTCTTACAGCTGCCTGCTACCAGGCTGATGGGGAAGTGGATCTCCAGCCAAGGTCTGTTGTTCCCACAATTCCCCCTTTTTTATCTTCTAATGAGGCACTCCTGTCTTAGGTCAAGTAGGGTTACTCTCTCATATCCAT